AAAAAATTACTTATAATAAACTTGTAATTAAAAATACAGTAACTGAAAAAAATTAGTTATATGCGAAATATTACTTTATAACTAAAAAATTACTTATAAAATAAAAATTCACTCGTGTAATTTTTTTTTCAATAGAAATACTACTAATAAGATAAAAAATTACTTATAAAATATTGAAAAGTCACTTATAAGTAAGAAATTCGCTTATGTAAAGAATTATAAGTACAAAAATAACTTATAACTGTAAAATTTGCTTATAAGTAAATAATTACGTATAAATTAAAAGTTGAATGATAAGTAAATAATTTTCTTTTTAAGTTAAAATTAAATTATATATAAAAAAATTGCTTATGAATAAACAAAATTTCATACCAAAAAAATTATAAATTGAAAATTTTATCAAATGATATATATATAATTTTATTCTTTCCAAAAACTTTCAAAATTGTTTGATAATAAACTCTCAAATATGAATTGAAAAATTTTAAAAATCGCCATAAAAATTATTTCAAAATTGAACTCCTCGTAAGTGTCCAAAATCGATACTTACCCGGTACCCAAAACTCCCAAGCAGGCTAACATTTCACCACTTTTGGAATTCTCTTGGAAGTGTGGTAAAATGGAATTTAAGTGCCACAAATGAAAGATTACAAGATGCTGGTACATTCTCTGTTTTAACCCACTAGCGCTATAAGTGTCAATCTCGCTCCTATTTTTCCCCTTCTCCTCTTGTCACGGCTTTAGGCTTCTTTTCCTCTTCTACAAGACAGCAGCTTCCCAAAGCCATCTCTTAACTCAGGTCAATCAAATGTACTGAGCACAGCAAAAAAATCGAAACCCCACGGAAATTGAAAAATCTAACGAAAAGTAAAACACAAATAGCAGATCTAAAGAAAAATCAAAGTGAAAAAACAGGAAGAGAGAAATGGAATCTGTCTTTGGACTGGTGGGCAAAGATTTTGCAATTGTTGCGGCGGACTCATCGGCGGTGCACAGCATCCTCGTACACAAGACCAACGAGGATAAGATCATGCTCCTTGATTCCCATAAACTCATGGGGGCCTCCGGCGAAACTGGTGACCGGTAAAACCCCATTATATCTATCTATATTATTTATTTATTAGTATTTTGTGTAATTTAATGTTTTTTTTAGGATTAATTGATTTATTTTCGTATTGGGATGTATTTTGTTTTATACTTTCTGGGTTTTTGTTTATCTATGTGTATGTAGGGTATATCTTTGGTAGATTAGAAATGTACAATCAGTGCTTGCGTATATGCACATATAGTAGGCAGGTGAGTCTATTTGGAGATGCAGATGCAGGTGGATTGGGATTCTTTTAGCCAAGCCGTCTTCTCCCTTTCGTGTTAAATAAAAGAAGAAGCCTTTTTTCTACCCAAGTTTTCTATACAGTTTTTGCCATTGGGATTGGATTTTAAATATGTCAAAAAATGCGTTGTACTACTTATATTTGATTGTCTGCTTGTGTTTAAAATTTGATTATTTCAGTGTGGGATTTCATTTGTTCGTGTTTTGTACTGAAGTCCTTTTTGCCTTTCTGGCTCTTGATTTTTTTTTGATTGAACTGGAAGGTAAACGTTTTTTCTAAGTTTGGTGGATTTTGATATGCTATGGATTCAGGATTATTTTGTTTATACTTATCTTACTTATTGAGTTTTCTTTAATTTAAGTGATTCTGGATTAGTTTTATGACATTAGTAGCTCATATTTTGTGAACTTTTGTATATGATGTGTACATAAGCATGCTTTCAATTTTGGCTAAATATATCCGTGATAATATTGTTTTCTTTTTGAACTTTCATCTTCTTATCTTATGATGGGTGAAGTTTTGCTATATTTGTGTAAACAGGGGCTGTAACTTTGAACTGTTTTGGCGATAATTTTATATGGTTCAGTTCAGTTTATTTATTATATTAAGTCCATGCTTGGTAGGAATTAAAATATAGATTTTAATCTAAGTCAAAGTCAAAAATTAATTTCAACCACATATTTCATCAACTTCTATCAAAATCCATAAAAAATCTGTTTTTAATCACCGTCAAACAGGGTCTAAAATGGTTACAAAGAAAAAACATTTGACAAGTAAAATGTTTTATGCTGGATGATTTCTACTTGAAGGAAAATGCTTGATATGGAAATACTTATTTTAGACTTTGTAGCATTCATTTTCTGGCGTTTGGTTGATGCAATGAAATATTTCCTTTTTTTTTTTTTAAAGAAATGAGAGAAGAAAACAAATTCCTATGATTGTTGTGGTCCTTGGATGCCATATGATCGCAATTTGCTGGGTTTCAAAAATTACTAGAGGATTTTTATGCTATTTCAAAACAAGGGATTATTCTGTTGTGACGGTACAATTTGCTAGTATCCTTATAGCAAGGGAATCTCTTTTCTGGTTTTCCTATTGCATATACTTGTGATGGCAGAGTTTGTTCTTGCACGTATGTTATGCGTAATCCTGAATTGGTTTTGCTTAGTTGAGCTTCGCTTTATGGACATTCATGTTTAGGCATTTGTTATGGCCAAAAATTACTATAATAATCATATGCATGATGTTTTATGGTGTATACGTAGGCTGAAGCGCTTAAGACCTATATGTTCATTTTAAATGTGATGGTATTCTTCAACTTATTCGTGGAATGATGTAATAGGGCTCAGTTTACAGAGTACATACAGAAGAATGTGGCTCTGTACCAATTTCGAAATGGCATCCCTTTGACGACTGCAGCTGCTGCGAACTTTACCCGAGGCGAGCTTGCCACGGCCTTGAGAAAGGTACTATGTTTTTCTAGAGTTACTGCTCTGTGACTTATTTATATTGGTAAATTAGGTTTTTTTACCTTGTTTGTACAACATGATAATACTTCTCTGGTATTTTTGCATTGAAATATTGGAATTCCTAACTTGGGGCTTGAATGTATCAAGCTAGTATTGGTTGTCTAGTTCCATGCCCGAGAAAAAATAATGAGCTGTCTAATAAAT